CTATCGGATGGGACTCTCGCCTGGCCATGACTTGACCTACCCCCAAAGATCATCATCGGAATTGAGGCATGCGCACTGATCAGCCACTCTGCGAGATGCCTCCCCCAAAAGCGGGTTTCCCAGCTGACAAGCTGTTGACCCACTGAGTAGCTGGCGGCCATATTTACAGAATGGGGATGGTGTTGGGGATCTATGGCCAAAAGGGTGGCATTGGAAACTCATAAAAAAGACATCAATTGCAAATCTGCATTAACTGACAAGAAAACGAAATTCTTTACTTTTTTAGATAAAGCTGCTATATATGTACATATACTCCTGATTCATTAAAACAAAGATATTGAGCAAGGAGGACCCTGAGCAAGCCATCGACCGAAGGAGGAGCATCAGCTGGAGTAGCCATCCGAGCCAGAGGAGGACAAGGTGGAGCCTCCTGTGAACGAGAAGTACGGCCTCTCATTACATATCTGATCTTTCGTTGATTCTGCAATAAGAATAAATTCGATAACTATCTCCATTTATCTTTACTTGTAGATTACAAGTCTGCAGGGTATTCGAACGTCTGTCAACCGCATGCTGATGTCGGAGGTGTTTCCTTTTAGTTGTTTTCAACAGTCTGGCTTCGTCTAGTTGTCCGAGGTCCTATGTCCAGTGTCCGATGTCCTGCTGCTGTGTCCCTGTGTGTTGTATGTGTCACTTGGGTTAACTGTGCTACACACGGCACCGTGAGATGGGTACTACAACCTCATGCTGTCCTTCTCCCTGTCCCTGTCCCTGTCCCTGTCGCTGTCCATGTCCATGGCCAAAGCCAAGTCCAAGTCCAGCTGCTAACATGTGACGATGGCAATTTGCATTTCAGCGGGTGGGTTAGCCTCGTGTTAGCCACTGGGTGACAGACATTAAATAATTAACTCTCATTTATCATTTATAAGGATGCAGAGAGCGCCACTCTGCGGAGGGGGAGGAAGCCAGAGCGGGGGCCGGGCTGTCAGGACACAGACAACGCCAAGTAATCCCCCAAAGAGAACATTTAACATACGTAAGTAGCAATTGAATTAAAAACCAATAATATCAACCAAAAAATAACAAGCTCAAACAGGGACTTCCAGAGCCAGAGACATGCAAAGTGATTGAGTGGCGACTGGGACTGGGACTGTAATCGGAACATGTGTAGAGATATTTATTTAACAAACACTGCGAAATATCAAGAGCGATACCAGAGGCACGCAGTGGCAGTGGCAGTGGCAGTGGCAGGAAAGGAAGGGCAAACAGGCGAAGGACATCGAAGGGAAGGCACAACGACAATCGAAATGCGAATGGAACTGGAGATGGGCGCAACACGATGGCAAATCAAAGGTGAAAAGATGTGAAAAGCAAACGGAACGTGCACCGGGAGCATTTAACCCATACCCCAGCTTCGAGCAGAGCCCGGGCACCGGCCCGGACCCGGACCCGAACCCGGGACCGTACCCATAGCCATAACTCCTCCCGGAGCCGGGAGTAAGCCGCTGTTGGGACACACATGACGTATTGGCACGAGTCCCTGAGAAGCGAATTGCGAGGTCGCAGGAGCTCTGTTCTGTGTGCTCTACCGGCTCCGGCTCCGGCTCCGGGGCACTTGAAAGCCCGGGCGTATCTTGATTGTTTGCATGTAAATCTGCACAAAATCCCCAAAGTACCCAAGTACCTAGAGTATCCAAAGGAAGTGGAGACAGAGAGAGAGAGAGAGAAAGTCCTTGTCGACTGCCACTGCCACCGACATCGCCACCACCTCCGCTATCCATCCGACAACTGGCTCTATGGATGGCGCGGTCCCCGTATCGTTACTCTGATGGAGCGCTCACCATCATCATCATCGTCATGATGGCCTTGGCGCATCGCTTCCCATCGCTCTGCATCGCTCAGCATCTCACGGCATCGGCATCGGCATCGGCATCGTGGCAATCCCTTGCACAATTGAACCGAGTCGTGTGGGGGCGAGTTACCTGCTGGCGCCCCTTTGGCCAGGCAACGATCTGTGCTGACTCTGGGAATACCCTGCAGACTCTGCAGATATTTACATATATTTGGTAGCTATATACATACATGTACGACATATTTTATACTATATCACGCCACCATTAAAATCTTACAGGACCCTTCTGTATATTCGGCCTTCTGAGTAGCGGCGTTTGGTGTTCCACATGGCGGAACCATCACACAGTCATCACAGCCCTTTGCCCAGCTTTTACCAATCCCCTGTCCTCCTGCCACATTGCGGGGCCAATTTTCCGATTTTCTACGATTTACTCGTTCGTTTTTCCATCTTCTGGGAGGTAGGTCGAGGTCTCCCCCTGTGCTCCTGTAATTCCTGTTTTTTTTGTTGATGTTCTGTAGTTCTTTTTTTGTACCTTGCCGATCGTTGGCAAGGCTTTGGTTTAAACTGCATTTATTGGAATTTCACAATAAACTAACGAAGCTTTAGCCCGAGCTCCAGCTGGGGGAGTGAATGAACAAGAGCGGGAGGTAGAGATAGGCCAAAGCCAAACCATGGCATTTGTACAAGTTTTTGGTTTGGTTTGGTTTGGTTTTTTTCCTGCTGTTCTCCTGCCGCCCCCCAGAGGCGCGTCGTCATACACGACGTATGCTTGATATGTGCCATACCTCAGACGACTGGGCCCCCACGTGAACTGATTCCCCGTGAAGGATGTAATTAAAAAACGGCAACATCAACAGCCTCTATGCTGGGCTTCGGGCAGTGGGGCTGCAGCAAAGCAACACAAAAAAAAGGAGTGCGGCGCTGCAGCCTTGTAAACTTGCTGCACACGACACTCGAAGTTGCCACCACTGGAAGCAGCTCCTCTACACCGCTCCGGCTCCCCCTCATGCCCACGTTCTGGCATCCCACCCTTCCGTCCGTCCGTCCAGGGTGCAAATCGATGAGCGGGGGGCTGGGCACACAAAGCCAGCGACGGCAATCTCTAACGATATCCATAGCTCAAAGCCAAATCTCTGCACAAACAGGATATACATATGGCTCGGCAGGAGTCAAAGTCAATCCTTGCACATCCATCCCAGTGCCCCCACTGTTCCTGCCACTGCCACTGCCACTGCCACACTGCTTCCTGAGCATGCCGATGTTGTCGATGATGTTGATGCCGCATCCGTTCCGACTTGGGTTTTGTAGTCAAGGCAGCTTCTGTTTTCCCTTTTTGCCGTTTTCTGCTTCTGCTCTTCGGCTAATACCCTGCCAGCAGTCGAGTGCCAGGGTGTATTCGAATGGATGGAGTTTCATGCATTACCAACGATTTTCTATTGCCAAATATTTCTTCACCTCAATCGCCACGCCCAAGAAAAGTACTATATATTGGGACCGACTTTTGCGCCTCAAAAAAGGCATTTATGCATATTGTTGTTGGATTCCGGGACCGACTCAGTCGCCCTAGGCATTGTCTAACAGACGAGCCCGAGTTGGCAGCGATTCAAATGTAATTTCTTCTTTATGCAATGTCTTCGCATTTTAGAGTCTCTGTCGAAGGACGATCGATTCATTTGCTCTAAATTTCGGGGGTATCTTGCAGTCGCAACACTTTACGACAATACCCTCCTAACTTGTTTCGGTTTTTTCCTGCTACTGCTGCTGCTCCTTTTTGTTTCTTCTCCTTGACGGGTTCCAGTTTTTTGCGGGTATTTTTCTGTGATATTGAGCCAGCTAGCACTCAAAGGAAAGCCAAAGCCAAAGCCCAGCTCTCCCCATATCTCTATCCCTATTCGCTTTCCCATTCTCTGCCACCGCCCTGACGTATTCGGCTTAGTGTGATTTGTATGCGTCCTGGCTGAAGCACCGAACGATGGATGGACCGATGGACCGATGGATGAATGGATGGACCCTCCGGAGTTTGCTGGAGAGGATGGGGCAGAGATGGGGTCAAGAGCTGGACTCGGCTCGCATTGCTATTTCATGCTTAAAAGCAACTGGCCAAAAGCGTACGTACTCGCACTACTTGTGTCCATCGAATCGGGTTGAAAGTGAAACGGCTGGCTTCCTGTCTTAGCTCCCAGTCCCAGCTCCAGTCTCAGTCTTAGCCAAATTGCCCGAACGGCCAGCAACAGGAGGAATTATAACCGGAGGCCACTGAGAAAATTCCATGACAGAAAGAATCAAAAGAAGAATACGAGTCAGTATTAGCCAGAAGGCAACGAGGACTGATACTGCATGGGAATATCATATAATGGCTTGCATAGTACGGAAATGCTTTAATTTACATATGAAAAAGGTAAGAATTGACACCGTTTTTTTCTGCTTGAGTTTCGCTGGATGGACTAACCTTTTGATCCTGAATTGTTTTGATAGAATGAATGTTTGTGCGGCGTTTTCCTGCCGGTTCTCCTGCTTTCCCCATGGGGCGCTTTGGTCTAGTCTGCCTTTTGCCCCAAGAGCTCCATCTCCTGCCCCAAGAGCAACCGATTCCCAATTCCGAAACGCGTCGCTTTTTTCCTGTGTGTTCTGTGTGTGTATATGTGTATGTGTAAGCCCCATGGAGGTGCAACGTTGGCTGTTGCTGCTGCACTCTCGCATCCGTAACATGGCGGCTTATGTGTTGTCGGTTCCCGGTTCCCGATTCCCGGTTGTCGGTTGCTGGTTGTTGGTTGTTTGCTCTCCCTGCCGCTGCCGCTGCCGCTGCCTCGTTATGACTTTCTTTTTTGCCTAGACTTACCCTTAACCCTCTCCACACTCCACATTTGCATTACCTTTACTCCATGCCCACCTCCCCACGGAATGGCTCTGCTCTTGTTGCCCAGGGTGACGCGAACTCTCAATATCGAGTGGATTTGCAAGTGTCATTTGTAGGCAGGTGATGGAGATGGCAGCACAGCTCAAACGTGGGGCCCTTCCGCCGTGATTTACATGCCTGAACGGAACGGAACGGAACGGAAGTGGCTGCGGTACCCCTACACCCACACCACAGTGCCAAGAATAGCGAACCCCTGAACCCCTGAACCCATAGCAAAGACACATCAACTGTTCTCAGAGGCGTTTAAACAGCGGACCATAACTAGAATTTAAAAAACAATATTGGCCAAAAGATGTGAAATTGAAAATTGATTTTAAAGTGTCAATGCAAAGGGCATCTGTGGATCCCCTTCTTCGGTGTCGAATCGAGCTTGCTCTCCTGCTGCATCGACCACAATTTCATCTTTGGCTTCCAAGTTGTTGGGCTTCTCGTTTGTGTCCACGTCCACCTTTGGGGCAAAAGACTTGGGTCCAGCTTCTTCGGAATCGGGGTTTGCTTGGGGTTCAATGCTGGCGCCTGTGTCCAGGGACTTGTCATGGGCAGCATCGGTCTTTGCTGCGCCTTCAGGGTCCAGGTTGGTGGTCTGCCCCGAAGCAGACTCAGCATTAGCCTCCTCAGGACAGTCCAAAGTGGTATCCTTGTTTGGTATATAGCCCTTATTCCTCTTGCGGTTCCGCTTTTGGGGCTTCTTCTTATTTTTCTTACGTTTAACCACATTGGGATCCTGCTCCTCTGACTGCTGGTTCGTATCGTCTTTGGAGTTCATAAGCTTGGACAGAATTTCCAACTGGTCGTCTATCAAAGGGTTTGACGCTTCCATGAAGTAGAGCATGGCCTCATTGATGCGATTTTCAATCGCTTTGTCTTCTAGTGATTCCTCCGCCTCTAGATTCGTTTCGAGCTGAGTGGCTTCCTTGGGCGCCTCGGGGTTCATTACGGCGATCAGCTCCGCCAACAGCTTTTTCGGCTGCACATTATGCCAGGGGCCGGAGAACGGTTTGATCCGTTTACCGAACCCATTGTTGGCCTTCTGCTGGAAGAACTCTTCCTTGCAGACGGCCACTGACTTTTGGCCCAATGGCAGGAGCTCTGTGTATGGATCCAATGGTTCTGGTTCCTCCTCCCACAGTATGCGATCAATACTGTTTGAGCTCTTGGACCGCACCATGGGCTGATGGACTGTGCGGTTAGGCTTCTCAGGCGGCTCTGGTAGCACCACAACGATATCCAGGAACTTCATTTTACGCTGCGAATCTGAAGGGACAAGGAAACCGACCAGCTATTTGCCTGGGACTATCTTCAATACCGCACTGAAAATACTAACCGTATAGGAGGGAGCGCTTTAAGGCTCTGGAGAGAATAGCCTCTCGCATATCCATCTGGCGAGACATCTTAGCGGCTGCTTTTTGTATTTTTATATGAATATGTATATGTATATGTATGAAGTTTACTTGAACTTTTATTTTTTATTTTTTTAGATTCGTTTTTGGGGAACTCGAATATTACTTCACAGACGAACACAAATGAACTGTAATGCAGAGCTGTTCAAGTGAGTTCAAAGTGGAATTACAAACTCAAGGGCTACTACCATAACCAAAAATTTACCAAGTCAGACCTTTTCGTTCATTCATCGAGTTGGCAGGTCTGACCTGTCATTATCTGTCAAACACTTTCAGAGTTGCCGTACGTTCTGGGGCTTCCTTCTGGGAGCTCTGTTTTTTCTGCGGATTCGTATTTTTGGTTTTAGATCATTTTGAATTTGAGTCGGACTCTTAAACATACGAGTTTTCGTGTGTGTGTGTGTGTGTGCTTGTGGAAAAATTCATTTAAGGAATTGAATGGGATGAAATGCAGTCCGAGCAGTCTCCGAGAGACCAAATCAAAGCCTAGTGCGATGGCATTTCCATTTTCCCATATCAAATTTTCCTTTTTGCCTTTGGTCTGCCTTTATACGAGAGTCCCAGAGCCCTTTGCCGTGCATTGCATGCATATTTATACTCGTAGTTCCGCTTGTTGACAAATATCGCTCTATGTTGACTGACGCCCCGCACAGGCAGGTCGTTAGACAGAACTGCCAGTGGACATGGAACAGGGACAGGGACAGAGACCAGGACTGGCTGTGGTACTGGCTGTGGAGCAGAGGAAGCTGGCAACGGAAGCTGCACTGATTAGAAACATAGTGGGGCCCAATGAAGCTGTGCCAACTGGCGGACCGGGCCGGAGCGAAAAAAAAACCCGATGGAAAAAGCACTGATGCCATAAAAAAAGCACGCACGCTGGCCAGCCCCGGAATGGAGGAGGAAAACCTCGTCATCCCCATACCCTAGGAAGCAGTGGCATACGTATATTTCCAGGATGATTTCAAGGAACTGGCCTGGCAGCTCGGGATAATACACGAAAACTAAGTTTTAGGCCTGGTTGACCATCTTTAGCATGGGTTATGTACCCCTTAAAAGGAATTAAAAAGAGCAATGTATGGCCTTTAAATTGATGTAAAATTAGTTGCCATAAGATGTCTATTCCGGTAGATATATTAGGGCAAACATTAAAGTTCACTTAAGTTTTGCTATGGCGTACAATCGAGTTCTAGAGCATGAGCAGGTCGCTGTCGTTTATGGGCTCTTTGGTAAGCCAGGGAATCGTGTGTATTGTATAGTACTCCTGTTGAGTGCCCCCAGCAAATCCTATGCCATGAATACAAAATGGTCAAGTGGAATGGTCGGACACGCTACACCGATTTGTTAGTTTGTTCCGAATATTTTAGTGATTGAAATATTAATGGGTGTGGGGTGTGAGAACGAGGGAGATGGCTGTAGGCTGTAGGCTGTAGGCTGTAGGCTGTAGGCGGTAGGCTATCTCGGTCTCGTAGGGATCGATGGCAGCGCCGGCGCTACGCTTTGCTTTGTTCAGCAATTTGTGGCAACAATGGAGTTGCGTTCCCACAAAAGGCGGCACACAATAAAAGCCAGTGGAGGGCCCGGGCTAAGCCCGGAGAGGAGAGAAATGAGAAAGGAGCCGGTACGGGACAGGACAGAGGCTCACATGAGCCATGTGTGGCCGGGGCTTTCACATTAGCAAATCTATTAGCATTTGGCTAAGCCGCACTTAGGCCTAATGTGGACGAGAGGATGCGCGCTAGACTGGCTGTCTCTCGAGGTCCGAGGGCCGGTGTGTGTGGGACCAAGGGCTAATCCTTTATCGCAGGCCGTAGATCGTGCAGGTCCTTTGTTTGGGTGGCTGGATCGCCTGGCCATTGTGCAACCGACACTTGTCTTAATCCCCGCCCAGCGACCAAACAAAACAAAGCAACAAAAGCACACCCGGCCACAAAGGAACCTGCTCTCGCTCGCCCAGTCATACGATCCGGCCCAAAGCCGTCGGTTCGATGCGATCTATGAGCTGGCGGATCATGGCCTCCATCGATCGATGGCCCTTTGTTTTGGCTCTTGTTCTGTGGGCTCGCCCAATTGATCCACTCAAGATAAATTACGGCCACAAAGTACTACTTGAATGTGTAAGCTTAGCCCTGGGATTGTATTCTGGGCCTCCTCTAGGTAGCAGGTTCTTCCTCAGACGGCATGTCTTCCGGCTGATTATCACCTACTGATGGCCACCATAGTATATTCTTACAGACTATTGTACATGTGTATATCATCAGCAGAAAGCAGGGAAAGCGGGAGAGGGCAGGGAGAAAATGTTGTACGAAAATTATAGTACAATACAGCAAAAGTTTATTACGAGAAATCCATGAAAATCAATGGAATGCGAGCCATAAAGAGAGGGCAAACAACATTTCAGAGCTGGAACTGGGGCTGGGATCAGGCGAGGGATGGTATGTGATTGGATTGAAATGGATTGAATGCTCGTTGTTGTTGTTATTGTTGTTGTTCTGTTGAGCGAGCGAGCGAGCGAGCGAGAGAGAGAGAGAGAGCCGAGTGCAATTATTAAAATAATGTCCACAGCCCATTGAGTTCATAACGCGAATGAGGCCGCAATAAAATAAATAAATGAAGAGGAACTTGTCCTCAAATGAGGCATGCAAATGTCGCCCGACGAAAATAACAATGGAGGAGAGGAGCCATAGCTCGGAGGCAGCAACAGCAACAGCAACATCATCGGCATTATCATGGCCACCATCGTCATGTCCTGCCCTGGCCGTGGTTCTGTCCCTGGCCCATCCTGCGCTGAAATTTATTAAAAACAAAAGGCGGAAAATGCCTGAAACAAAAACAATATCGAGGGGAGGTCTGGACGAGACTCTGGAGGGGATGGATGCCTGGATGGATGGATGGGTGGGATGGATTGCTTAATTTCGGCCATTGGCCACAGCTGTTGGCCCAATAGATTAAAGGGGGCAAACAAGTATAAGTTTATTGAAGAAAAGTCTCACAGAATTCCTGGCCAAAGCAGGTTACAGACAATTCTGTAAACATCCTGAAGGAGCGATTTCCCTTAAAATTAAAATAATTTTGAGAGCAAAATATCTTAAAGACTGACCATAAAGCTGCTTAAAGTAAGAGTAATCGAAAAGTAAACATTTCTGAGAATTTGTCAGCTCCCCCTAAGGCAGTTTTTGGAATGAATATCTTAATTAAATAGAGATTTTACACAAATCTTCAACAGATTATCGCTATAGAGATTCCTCCGATCGTAATACAGATCCAGCAACCCGTGAACTCTTTTTATACCAGACACACTTTCCCATACGCACCCACCATTAAGGTCGCTTGACACTTCTGGCAATATATTGTATTTGGCAAGGGGTCTGTCAGGGCAGAAATTGTCAAAAAGAGCTGTGACTGTGACTGTGACCTGACCCCCAGCCCAACCTGCGAATGACGCGCTTAACCCGTGGCAAGGAGGCACGAAATGTGGCACTACTCGGGGCACAGAAGTTCGAGAAGTTCAAGTGTATAATTTCGATACAATTGGGACAGTTTTAGTGCTTCGCCGGAACAAAAAACAAAAAACACGACCGTCGCGACGGTGGTGGTTGGTGGTGCGTGGTGCGTTTTTCGTGGTGCTCCTGTTCCAGTCTCAGTCTCAGTCTCAGTCCCACTCTCAGTTGCAGTTGCAGTTACAGTTACAGTATCATTCCTCCAACCTATCCCACAACCTTCCACCTTCCACCGAAAACATGAGCGGACGGAGGGGGCGCTTAAATGCGGTTTCATGTTACACATGTGCGGCTAATTAGCGACTGTTTAACGATAACAAGCGACGGCTGTGGGTCCTGTAACTAATATGCCAGAAAATTAGACTTGCAGGGCACACACAGGACACTCAGGACACACAGGACACTCTCACACACCGAACGGACGAACGGACAGCAGAGTCCCTGTTAACGAGCATGAAATTATTATCGAAATGCAATTAATGAGTGCGACAAGCGACACGGTGCTGCCCGAGAACTCAACACTCGGACACAGGATGTTGCGCAAACACTTGCAACGACATTTGTCCTCACTTAGGATCAGTGCAGGTTCCCCCACCCCCCACCGGGAACCATCCTCTTGTCACCCGTCCCCATCCTGTCTTATCTGTCCTGCAAGCTGACACTCCAAAGAGGTCTCTCAATCGCCGGCTCAAACACTCTTTTCACACGAATTCCGGCGCCAGCGACATCTCGCCTCAAGTGCACCCAACCCTGCCACTTCCGTCTCCGAGTCACCGAGTCTGTGGGTCGCCCAATCTCAATCCTCCAGAGAGTCGTAGCCGGTGTCCCTGCAACCTGCAGCAGCTGTGCGGCTGCGGCCTCTGCCATCACTTTGCATATCATGTGTGGATCCCTTTGGGTCTGCGATTGGGGCTAGGCAGGGCTCAACAAATCGGATTTGGAGCTTTAAGCGTTAATAATTTGGACCCCGACCGCTTCCGATAAGTGAAAAGCAGCCGCTCTCTGACGGTCAGAGCCGTGGCCCTTTCCAGGAGACACACTCTCTCGTTCCACTTAGTGAATGGGCTTCGTGAGTGATTTGCGAGTAGTTCTCTGAGCTTTAAAATAAAAGAGAAGCGATTGATGTCTTCTGCCATAGAATGTAAGCTACTCTTCCGAGATTCTTCAGCGATCAGTACTTAATCCTTTTCTGAAACTTCATGCCCTTCAAAACCTTAACGTTTCCTATTTTTCTTTTTCCTAGGGCATTCGCTCGTCTGTGTCCCTTGGCTTTACAATTTTCTTTGCTCCCCCAAACATTTTTTTTCGACTTTCTTTTGTTTTGCGCAAATTTAGTTACCCCCTTAGGGTTTGGGTGGGGCTTGGGTGGGGATTTGGTAGGTTTCGGATTCGGGTTCTACATCGATGCCCACTTTGTTTTAATGCGCGCTGATATGTGAGCCGCAGGGCTTAGCCCCACACACCCACACACCCACACACCGACACACTCGACCCATCCACCCGAAGGGGAACCCTCCTCACACATGACGTCCT